AAAAAAAAAAAAAAAAAAAAGCACCATGCTCTTTGACCCAGAAATTCCACTCCTGAGACGTTAGCAGAAAAGAAAGTAATTCACAAGAAGAAAATTCCAATATTGTAAAGGACAATATTGTTTAATTCAGCGCTGTGATAGGGAAAACCTGGAAACAACCTAAAATTCAAGTAACTCCAGTAAACTATGGTGCTACCATGACTGCTATCACGGCTGAGACAATATTGAACCATGTCACCCAGAAAAGGAATTGAGCCTGGGACCTCCAGGCTATGATTTCAACCCCATGGTGTTAGGTTTTCACATGGAAGATACCTGGAAAAAAGAGAGTACATCAAACTAGGTTGGAGTGGTGGGATTCTGGATGATGTTTATAAATTGTCATGAATGTCCTTTCATGAAATCATCAATATTAATAATAGATTTTGGTGTCGATGGGAGAAACATCCTGAGAAACAGCACTATCAACCCCCGCAAGTGGCCACATCTGACAGGTGTGATGCATGTGAGCACTGGCATCTACATGAGCGTGACGCTCTCAGTCGAGTGTCAAAGGTCCCCTCACTTCACTGCACTGACACAGGGGCCGAGGTGGGCAGCCCTCTTGCATGCTGCTGACTTGACATGACTACCAATTTCCTGCCATTGCACCAACAGGTGAGGGCCCGGCTGCCGAGCCCTGTCCCGGCCCTGCAGGTCAGATGGCAGTGAACTCCCTGGCTGGGACGCTTCCTCCTCAGTGGAGATGCTCTGTCCCATACTGAGCCTCGAACGCGCTCAGCTTCCACGTGTGCTGCGCCTTCCTTGGGACACCATGTCTGGAACTGCGGCCCACGCCTGCCCAGGCTTGGTCTGCCTGAGGGTGGGAGGAGCTGCAAGAGCAGAGAAGCAGTGAGGCACACAGGCATGGCGTGAGGGCGAGGCCTCCGCTTCTGAGGTCAGGACAGACCCCTTTATGGGCTACCTGGTCCTCTACCCAGACTCCGCTAGAAGGTGTCTGAGTTTGGCCAGACAGAAAGCCCTGGTACTGCTGCTTCGGAACCAAGAGAAAAAAGCACAAAGGAGTGACCTCCTCCCACTTCATCTGAGAAGGCCACCTGGCACAGCTGCAGCAAGGGCACCTGTGAGACCCTGGCCACCAGGTACTTGGGTGACAGACCTGTGCCAGGTGGGTGTGGCAGGGCTGGGCAGCTTGCAAGCACACAGCATTGTTATGGCACACAGCAGCGTTGTTGTGGCACACAGCGGCGTTCTTGTGGCACACAGCGGCGTTGTTGTGGGACACAGCGGCGTTTTTGTGGCACACAGCAGTGTTGTTACAGCATATAGTAGTGTTATGTCACAATTTTGGCTGTGGTGTGGCCCAGGGTTGGTGCAAAGGTGGGGTCCTGTCAACAGCAAAGCTCCAGCCTCCTTGGGCTTGGAGACAGAGAGGGGCCTCAAGGGAAGCCCAGAACCATGGCAAAGTCCATGCACAGATCTCAAGGGCGGGCTGTGGGAGAGGGTGGAAAGAATCATCCACCTTTCTGCAATGTGATGCGAAGGACAGCTCTGAGCACAAGGCCCAAGTGTAGGTCCTCGGGACCCTGATGAGCAGGGCAGAAAGGAAAATGAGACACAGGAGCCAGATGCCATGTCCTGCTGCTCTAGTCCAGCCCAAGTTCCAGGAGGAGGGCAGTAGCCCAGGGAGTACTTCGTGTACTGGATAAGAGCTGAAAGAAGATGGAGAAAACCTAGAAATTCAGGTTTGGAAATTCTGCAGGCATCGGACGAGTGACCTTCCACACAGAGAACAAGCCAATCTTTTGGTGCTTTGGGGGTTAACTGTTGAGGTATTTACTGGTGCTAACATCACTGGCATTTTTAAACTATCCACTGGTGTTCATAATGCCAAGCCGCCCGCTGATCAGCACCGCAGGGTTAACCGGAATGGGAGGAAGAAGCCGTCCATCTCGACGCACACAGTTACTATGCCTCCAGGCCTAGGAGGAGCCCTCAGGCTTGCTGAGTGGGCTTGCTCTGCTGTTCTTGAGGTTTCCACACTAGAAAGCTTGCTGGGAGTTAAATGTTCTTTAATAAAAAGAACCTGTTCCTCAGGCCTAGGAGAAGCTGATTAATGGTCTGGGCATCATTTTTTATTTTCCTGGCATCTCACTACTATTTTTTTTTTTTTTTTTTTTTATTTTTGGAAAAGAGAGCTTACTGGAGTGAGGAAGCCAGCCACACCACACCCTTGGAATAGAAAAACCCACCCAAATGCAGCCCTTCCAGCTCTTGTGCTAAGGAAGCAAACACAGGTCTACAAATATGGCTCACTACTGACAGACAGAAACCTGTCTTCCTTCCCTCTGGGGATCAGAGGCCATGGAGCCAGGGCAGGTGGCTGACCTGCCCTGAGTCACATGGGGCTTTATGAAGCCTAGTATCCTCTTCAAGACACACACGAGCTCACACTCATTTCAAACACTGACCTGTAGGAGATTTATGATCTCCAGGAGGGAACGCTCTCCCTGACCCGCCTCACTGAAATTGCTTTTGATACTTATCCCAAGTGCTTGAAAGCTGCTTGGGGAGCTAGAAAGCATATTAACTGCTGCCATAAGTCTTCAGAATATTCCGGGTGTGTGCTGGGGATATGGGCTGGCCGGCAGGTGGGAAAGTGAGTCTTTGGAAGGGGCAGGCCTCTCCTCCCTGCCAAGAGAAGAATTTGGGTTGTCCAGCATTGCTGGAGCATCCCTGGGCATTGGAAGTGGCTAGGGATGTTTATGCAGAAAGTCCTGGAAGCCTTGGTACCATCAGGAAATGATTAGACTAGGCTCCAAAATGCCCCACAAGTCTTATTCTGGCTGGCAACTGAGCACTCTCCACAGATGACCACCACAGTTCCAGCCCCAGGGAGAAGAGCCACATTGTGCACCCTAGCAGTGAGAGGGGAGGTGGCTGGAGCAGGTGCTGAAAACTCATTCCAAGTTGGATCTCGTGAGCAGATCCTTGGCAATGGCCAGTTTGGGTGGAATATTTCCTCCCCACCTCCCATTAGTTTTCTCTTTCATCTCTGCCTTCTCTCTGTTGGACTTTTACTTACTTTGTCGCAAGTGTTGACTCATAATCTGAGTTAAAAAAGGCAGACGCTTAGAAGTAACGTTCCCTCTATTCCATACAAAAATTAAAGCTATCCTTTAGAAAAACCACAGCAACAAATGAGGTGGGGTAAATATGAAAGGCAGGTAAGTCGAGGTTTAATAAAAAACCCATTCTGACAACAATGGAAGGGATAGTCTTTTACAGAGGAAAGGACTGTGCCAGTCCGTGCAGTCAATTTTAGGAGGCAAAGCTATTCGCACACCTTGGCTAAGCTGAGACGCACACTATAGGGATTCATCAAAAGCCTCAAAGAGGACCACCATGATAAACCTATTGTGAGTCCGGTGACTTTATATAAATTTGCCATTTAGCAGGAATTTCTCTTCCAGAATGTAACATGACGGGGGTGAAATGTGAATCCACTGCTTTGCGAGAGTGAGGCAAATAGAGTGTTCCGCACAGACACACGCACACGCACGTACACACACGTGCACATGTGCTTCTTACTGGCAGATCCAGCCCTTCTCTCTGGGTGTCTGCACTGTGCCCGCTCAGGTGCACCTGCAGGTGAGGACCATAAAACCTTGGCATCTCCAGGCTCTTCACTGAAACATCATCTGTGTTACTGGATGTGTGTGCCTCTGAGGGGGACACATATTACACTGGCGTGTCATGTGTCACTATGATGACGGGCTTCAGCATAGCTTCTTAGTCTAACAATGGCAGAACTGAAGGAACTTCTAGTACTAACCAAAACATGTTAATTGGATTTGGGTGTGGGTTGAATGATAACGATTAAAAAGATAATCCCTAACCACAGTTTAAGCAAAATTTCCAAACCATGGTACAAAATGGCTTTTGCTGTAAATAAATTTAAAGTTACATCTAAACCTTGTGAACATGTTTACCATTCTACTTATATTATCCAAGAGTATAAAATCATTGCAGATTAAAAATATAATGACATGTGCCTCTTTATCTTGTTATTATTCTTCTCTTCGCCGAGTTCCTCTTTGTTCTTCAGAATCCTGGAAGGAATCGTAGCTTCCTGTTTCCGCTCCTGCACCCTTCTTTCTTCACTTTTCTCCATGAATGTTGCAGATGTTGCTACTCAGCTGTGAGCTCACACGCTGGTCCGGTCTCCCTCCTTCACCAGGGGAACCTCAGACCACCTTTATTTTCACTGCCCCCCTCACTCCGTTCTTCCTGCGAGCACTGCCTGCGTTCAGGGCAGTCCTGGAACGCAGCCTTGGGCTCCCTTCCCCTTCTGCTGCATCAGCTCTGAAAGGTGGTCTTCACGCACTGTCTCCAGTTCCACACCGTTCTTCCTCGCACAGCCTGTCGTCTGAAAGTCCAGTTCTCCAGAGCCTTCCCCAGTCACACAGGAAAGCTGAAGTCCTCCAGCACAGTCACGCTTGCAGCGACACCACTATGACTTCTGGGGATAGCCGTCGCCTCCAAGAGAACCTTGGCTGTGCAAGGGCAGAGTGAGTCTGACTGGCTCACGCTCTAGCCGCAGCACCTAATCAGCACACGGGAGGAGCGCGGGACGCGGGTGCTGCATGAATGGAAGGGCGGACTCGACAGAGTGGCCGCCTCCGTAGCCTGCCTTCTTCCTCTTTCCCGTTCTTCCTTGATTCTGTCACTGCCAACCTGGGCTGAACCACTGCTCCTTTGTAGCTTGGGCAGAGTTTCAGCATAGTTCTAATAACACATTTTTCTCTATTATCTTTTCAGTTATTTCAAAATGCTTTTAAAAGTTTGATATTATCAGTGCTATTGTAATATAGTTACTTTAACCGTGATTATAATTGATTTAATGAGCAACAGGAATAGTCACACAGAATAATTTCCGTTTTCTCCAGCCACTGCTTGTCATTTGTCAGACCTTCCTTCCTCCCCGTTGGGCGGGGTCCACAGCCGCCATTCAGATCGACTTTCTATTTCATGTCCGGCTTCTCCGCGGTCTCCCACTCCCCGTCCTCCCAATTCAGCTTGCGCGAAGAAGGCTGGGGATTGTCTGGTTTTGGTTGCCTGATCCCTCTCGCTTGCAAAGTCCTTTTCTCCTGGCACCAGGAGAAGTGATAGAGGCGGAAGAGGCGCCACTCCCGTGCTGAATGCTCAGGGCTGCTGTGTCATCATGCTGGTCACTGCTAGATCATTTGTTTTCACAAGTGCAATAGCCTTTATACTGTTAGAATTTTGGTGTTGTTGTTAACAGTTAACGCAGAAACATTTCCCCAGATGTTAGTAAATTGTTCCCCAAAAGATTTAAGTAAATTTCAAGGTTTACTTTTTTTCCTTTGTGTTAATATGTTAGTATATACTTATGTATGGTTCCCAAGAGAACAGACATGGTTCATGGAGGCAGCACAGACCACTCACTTCATTACCTGTATTTTGTCCAGGACTCCAGTGCTGTCCATCCTACTGGCCACATTGACCGTGTTGCCCCAGATATCATATTGCGGCTTCTGAGCTCCAATTACACCAGCTATGACAGGTCCATGGTTAATACCTGTGCCACATCAGAGTTGAGTTAGCAA